TGGACTTGTTCAGCCTTGAGGAAAGAAGTCTACATATATTCAATTTCCTGAAGAAAAAAATGCACAGGTAAACTGCTTGCCTCCTAAAGTTCATGACATGCCCTTATAATTTCAAAAAAGGTGCATCAAAGTACTTCTAGTGGTAAATAAGATTATTTTCTGGTTACCAGAGTTTCTCTGAGACAGACTGCCCACATACTCAGTCTTAAAAGATACCAATTTCCAGATGACATGTATTCTAAATGCTAAAGATGCTGCTTATGCTGTACCACAGTGACTCTTAATTCTCAAATACACCAATAATCCAGTAGTATTGCTAAGACTACCTAGACCTTGATTGAAAAAATGCAGAGACACATAAGAAGAGTACCTAGATTTCTTAATCCAACCTAAAAAAGCCTAACAACATTCCTTCCATAACTCATTTATCTCTGCTTAATTCATCTAACATCTTGGGGGAAAAAAAGAAGTAAATCAGTAGCTACTGAACAATACATTAACCTGTATTCAGGTTAGCTAGCCACTCTGATGCTTAACCATTGCTATTTTCTACGCATCAAAAGGTTGGAGATTTTAACAGAAAATCTGGAATGTTTTAGTTTCTTACAGATAGCTTCACTTACATTTAAGAAATCCGTACATGGAAAGTGGAAAAACATACTGACTGGCTGCAGCAGCTGACAAGATTGGTTAAGGAAAGAATGCACTCAAAATCAAACTAAGAGAAGTTACTGACAGTTTGGTTCCAGATTCTACTGGGCTATAAGAGTGAAAAAAGTTTGTCTGCATCTGATGCACTGTGGTTGTACACAAAAGAATAGTAGGACACAAAAATGATGCAAGTAGACTGGAAGGTTAAGTTTGGAACACTACATGTAAGAACAAAAAACATTTAAGTTTTTAAGGTAAGAAAATTTCCAATAAAAAATGAGTTTGGATCTGTACATCATCTTCACAAATAAAAGATTAAAAGAAAGCTCTCAGATAAAAAAAGAAATATATCTCAAATTTCTCCACCATCTGACAGGTGGAAATAATAAAAGCTAGTTCAGAAACAGTTGGTAATGTGTAAGAAATAACTTAGCAGACTTCCTAGTTCATGTAGCTTTGCCTTATTAATAATGAAGTTCACCATCCATTACATTTTCATTCATCTTGCTTGGATTATAGCATGATACCTTCCTGTCTCCAGCTAAAAGAGACACAAGAATTATTTGTTCTTTCACTGCTCAGAACCTTGCAGCATTACAGCAGCAGGCCTGCTGTCCTTGCTGAAAACAACTGTTTGATTCCTACTGCAATTTTTCTCAAAGCTTTGGTTCCACAAGAAGGCTTCATCCCTTATTTTGAGTCTTCCTTACGTTCCAAAAATGACACTGATGCTACTACACTGATTGCTTCTCACACAGAAAGAGAGCAAACAGCCTGATGCCCATATTTGAAACTTGCACTGTACAAGGAAATGTGTATGGACTTTCAGTACAAAAAATAGTTCTACTGTTACAGAGCTAATATTCTAAGTCTCCAATTTCACCCCTATTTCAAAGAGCAAACTACTTTCCTTTCCCAGAGAGAGAAAATAGTTCTTACTTTACCTGCAACGCACATCAATACGGAATTTTTTTTGTGACTTTAGGAGGACAACTGTAACTTGAAAAGCTAGAAGTCCCAACTGCTCTCAACTGTTCACTAATTTAGCATATAGAGAGATAAACACTACAGGCAGTCCTACTAAGGTTCAACAAAGCATGCAAAAACTATCAATCATTATATGGGGAGTTCCTTAACTGCAAAAGAAAACTTGCCTAACTGTCAGACCCCACATAATTAGCTATATGTTTTAAACAAGTTTGCTGAAGTGTTACTGCTCACAGCATATACGCCAATGCAGTTATTATATTTACATTTTAATATCTGAGATCAATTGACAGGTAGCACACTGACTATATCATGCTTACAAAAGTGCTGATTTTTTATTTCTGGTGAAGAGCAGCTTTCCTTTAATTCTGTGGATTGTGATTCAAGTTTCTACTACAAAGTAGAATAAAGTGCCAAGCTACTGCAAGATTTATTTTCAGCTTAAGTGAGTCAACATTGATTTGCTATGTTGCATTGTGTTATTCCGAAGTAAACAACACCACCCCCACACCAAATACTTATTTTGTCTTCGTTCTAATTTTCCAAGTGAAAAACAAATGAGTTCCCTGTATTATGATGTCAAGCAAACAGAATTCCCTTTTCTATTCCAAGAAAAAACAAAAATCCACAGAACCCTGCAACCATAATTAAAATACTTACAGTCAGTTAAAATGTCAGAATCTAGCATGTTCCCAAGTGAATCTCCATTTTTGGTGAATCAAGATGATGACACAACTACCTCAATTGCTGTGAGAAGGCAGGAGAAAGAAATGTCGTTCAACTGACACCAAATACAAAATAAGCTCAATGACAATACTTACAGGAGTTTAAAAATGGACAGATTCATGCTCTGGTTCCTGTTGTATCCATTATATTTTCATAATGAATATGTTTGCAAATAAGCCAAATCTAAATGGTTTATTCACGTTCAAAATGTCAGGGCTGCTTATTAATCAAAGAAGCAGCCAGTCATATTTGCTACTTTTTCAATTACTGTATTTCAGCACTTTAGGCAAAACATAAATTTCCTTATGGAGTGCAAATTACACAAATCTACACCAGATGACCTGCACACTTATCACACACTGAAAGAAAACACACTAACAGAATATTAATGACATTTTCTTCCCTTCTTTTAATTTATTTAGCAGGAGAGACATAGTGAATCTCCTAGAATAAAAGGAAGCCACAATAATATCCTTATCTGAGTTTTGTGATATTTACAAGAATCGGTGTTTTTCTCTTCTTTCCTTTCCCATCTCTCCTCACATCTTTCCAAGATTGTCAAGTTCCTGGACAAAAGTTCTCTACCCTGCAGAAGACTACATGCATGTTACTCCTATCTAACTCAAACCTTTGAAAATACAGTAGTTTTGCACTTTGGAAAAATATCCATGGTATATTTTCGCTCTTGGTATCTGAAATGTGTCTGAAATGTGCCACATCTTATATCAACACAGATAATTGTGTGGTCTCCATTTACAGATGGTGCACACAAATAAACTATTGTGCAATTCTCACCTAACCAGATACAGTACATTAAGATGAAAAAAGGTGTCTGAAGTACTCAGTGCAAGGTGTATATGACAAAGTTAAAATCTTTCTCTCAGGACTAGAAATTTGCTTTAAAATATAAATAAATTGTATCTATTTCACGTATCATAAATATAATCAGTTCTAACACAGAATGCTAAAATATTAAAAAACAACATGAAGTTCTGTGCAGAAATAATAAATATATGTTCCTGAACTATAGAACAGGAAAAATAAACAGGAACATTTATAGACATGTTACCATATAACCTAGAAAAAAGAAAAAACAACTTATAAACTTGTATTGAAAGTTGCATCCTCCAACTAAGTTAAAACAAATTCTAAGATAATCCAGATATTCCCAATAGAACCATTTCCATCTATAGAACACTGAATATTTAAACTCCACATTGGCAGAGCTGGATGCCACATAACCTGGACCCTTAGCATGCAAAGGAAACACTTCCATGTTTAAACTGTTGACACGCACGTGCATATGCACCACAGATTCCACCCTGAATTTACGAAACACCTCCAGTGCAAGATCTCTCAAAAGCAACTAGCTTGTATCTTGTAACAAAAATCCTCAGCTGCATTACACAAAGTGTTGAAGACAGGATGAAGGAGGGGATCCTTGCCCTCTACTTAGCACTCTTGAGGCCACACTCGGAGTACTGTGTCCAGTTCTGAGCTCCTGTATTGGGTTTACATGGCATGGTTTTGGTAGCAGGGGGGCTACAGGGGTGGCTTCAGTGAGAAGATGCCAGAAGCTGCACCCATGTCTGACAGAGCCACTTCCAGTTGGCTCCAAGACAGACCCACCAATGGCCAAATAATCAGCAATGGTTGTAGCACCTCTACAATAACATATTCAAGAATGGGTAAAAAAAAGCTACGCAACAGCAGCTGAGAGAGAGGAGTGAGAAAATGTGAGAGAAACAACCCTGCAGACAACAAGGTCAATGAAGAAGGAGGGGGAGGAGGTGCTCCAGGCACCAGAGCAGAGATTGCCCTGCAGCCCATGGTGAAGACCATGGTGATGCTGGTTGTCCCCCTGCAGCCCATAGAGGTCCACCATGGAGCAGATATCCATTCTGCAGCCCATGACTGAAACACAGGAGGTTCTCACTGAACATGAAGAAACACACTTTTTTACTGTGAGAGTGAAAAAGCACTAGCACAGCTTGTGGCATCTCCATCCTTGGACGTCTTCAAAAGCCACCTGGACGTGGTCCTGGGCAACTGACTCCAGGTGGCCCTGTTTGAGCAGGGGGGTTAGAAGAGATGGCCTCCAGAGGTCACTTCCCACCTCTGGGGCTTTCCCACCACAGACAAAGGGTGAGTCCTTCTCCTCT